TGTTTCACAAGGGAACATGTGGGGGCTGCTCCCGGCCTGCAGGTGGGCGATAGCGGTCAGGGGACAGCCGGTAGCATCAGGGACCATGCCAACAGGACCAACCCCTGTGCCTCCCCTCAGGTGGTGGTCCCCCCCCCCCCTACGAACATCAGCAGACTCTGCTCAATGCCAATTGGGGGATCCAGTGGTCTATACCTCTAGGTGGCGAGTGCCAAACATGCCCAGGAAGGTACACGAGGCCAATGAGGATCGAACCGACAACCTCCCGAATGCCGCTTGCATACCAACTGAGCTAGGCCGCTGGTATAAAATATACCGCTTCAGCCTATGGTCTTTTTTTTGTTTGTCCTTTCTATCCTTTCCGGGGTATGGTTTCTACTAATGTACTATGTAGTGCTTTCCCTGTAGATCTATCGCTCGGACGAAGAAAAAGGCCACAACTGTAAAGAGTTTCTCTAAACACTGAACAGCAGTCAAAAAGTCAGATTTCACCAGATAAATTTCTCTTCGCTCGAACCTCGAATGTATTTCCGTTGGCCTCGACAGGAAATCAAATCACTGTGACCCCTGATATCTGATCCATGGTCCAAAGGGAGCTAAAAAAAAAAAAAAAAAAAAAAAAAAAAAAAAAAAAAAAAAAAAATCACTGTCAGCCCTGGTACGTGGCTCAAGTCAAAACTATCACCAAAGTGTAGATTTGAAAGCTCCCAGCATCTTCCCCCGTACGGTCCGTATAGTTATTGCCGTGTATTTGGCACAACTATCAGTCCATATACGGCAATAATCACGGGGCTTTCTATTCTATTTGGGGGACAACGGATGGGGGTACACAGCCCACATCATGATGGCTGAATGGTACACCCATGTAACTGTTGGTAAGCAGACTCGAGTTCGAATCCTGATTGGGATCAGATGGACGAAAAAACTCCGCATCAACTATCGGGGCCGGTCAGTCTGAGACTATGATACCTCAAACGCTGTTGGCCTTTCCATAAGTAGAAATTGAAAAAAAAAAAAAAAAAAAAAAAGATCAAGCAGAAGAGAGAGACGTCACAAGGGCAGCTCTTCTCCAGTTCCCTTTCCCGAGCTCGGATTTCTCTTCCGTTTTCTTTCGTCTTTTTTCCTCTGCTCGGGGACCTTGTCGGCTCCCACTAGCTCCGTTCAGCTACAGGAGCTCAACGTTGGGTTGGGCTTTCGACGATGTGTGACTGTACGCGACATCGGAGATGCACGTCGTCCAAGTCATCTAGCGCTCCGTTTTTTAATAAAAAAACTTAAAAAAAGGCAATAGAGACAGACTATCTTTACTTTTTCTTACAAAAGAAAGCAGAAGTAAATCCTTTCTCTCGAATACTACTCCCCCTACTCTCGCCACTTTCCGTTGAGCTACCGGTAGCTGTCTCCTTTTTTCAAGACGGCTTTGTAGCTCAACGACCGTCTTGTTCCCCCAAAAGGTGTCTTTTAAGAGAAAATGTACGAGCCTCCTCCTTCCGTTTGGCATTTTCATACCGGGACGGGATTCTGGCAACTCTTCATTTTCTGCTGTGGAATGGAAGTGCCCGTAGGCCTTTCCAATTGTGAAAAACGAAAAACCAGAACAATTGTTTTCGTGCCATTTATAAATGCATTTCTCATTTGAAATTGAATTAGAATGATTTTTTTTTAGCTGTCGCACCGTTGAGCTGCCTAAACTAAACGGTGCAAGTGGGACAAGGTCCCGGAAAAAGAAAAAATAAATAAAACATGTTTTCGGCGCAACTTTTCGATCTAAACCGTTCCACAGCCAGGAGAAAATTCACAGCAAGATACCTTTTCATCGCCTCGTGGCGATGAGTTTTTTTTTTTTTTTTTTTTTCAAATCATTCGCCGTTGCCTCTATGTCGAAATGCTCACAATTCGTCGCAGAGCCAGTTCATTGCCCCTTGTGCTTGTGGATCTTACCAGGGGTGAGTCTTATCCTGCGTGCGGAGCGTGTGGTCTAACTTACTTAGCTCGAACGCAACGCATCTGTAGCAAGGTCTTGAACCAAACAGTCCGGGCACAAAACCCTGACGATATGTTCTAAAAGATTTCTCGCTTGTAAAATCTCGCCCGGCTCGGGCGGGCAGATGGTACTGCCACGACGCCAGTGCGTGTGCGTGGCCTTGCTCGATATAATTTCGAGTCGCCCACACTTTCGACAACTGTAGCTCAAGATGTTGATGTAATATTCTATTTTCTCAATTTTTCTGTGTATTTATTTTATGTCTATTATTGAGAATGTATTTCCACCCCACATTTCGTTCCGGAGGCGGGGACTACTCTGCAGCGAGCTACCGCAACGGCGGTTTTCAGCTACCATCGTCAAACGGACAGGCCCAAGGTAATTCAGAATTATAGTAAATTTTACTCGTCCGCTTTTGAGCGGAGTTCGAACTCTGGTCTGAATGTGGACAGATCAGGGGTGTACTATACCAACTGTGATGAGGTACGCAGATCTCTGTTGGTACACTCAAAATGTGTTTGTACTAAGTAGGCTTTGTAGCTACTGAGAGAGCACCTTGGTTGGTACATCCAGAATATCAGGGGTGTAGTGTACCAACTGAGATGAGATGCGCGGATCTCTGTTGGTACACTCGAAATGTGTTTGTACCACGTAGGCTTTGTAGTTACTGAGAGAGCTACAAAGCCTACATACTGAGAGAGCTACAAAGCCTACATACTACATAGTACAAACACATTTTGAAATTGAGAGAGCACCTCGGTTGGCACATGCAGAGTATGAACTCAGGTCAACATTCAGAGACTCGGTTTTTGAATTTGGTGTTGGTTTTTTTCATTTTAAATTTCGTGTAAGGATTTTCGATGTGACCCTGCAGCTAGAAGTCGTTCACAGCCAAATCCCTGAAATGGTTTGGTTACGGATGGGGAGCCTTCCTGGGTCTTTTTACACTGGCTTCGCCAGCCAGCGGGACATTCTCCAAAGTTGCTTTTTTTCAGCTTTTTCTTTGTCTGTGAAGTTTTTGAGTGGTGTTTTCGAGTTACCTTTGTAGTCTAATTATATTATATGATATAAAAGAATAGCCATAGGCACTTGCTGTGGGGAGTTCGAATTTCAGTCACAGATCTTGTTTGTAGGATTAATAGTGTGAATGACGGGCAGTAGGACCCCTTCAGACCTTTCTTCCTTTTCTTAAAGCTTCATAGGTTGTCGTTGGGGATGGGCCAGGTATGGAGTGCCTCGCCCAGCTCCATGTGACAGTGGCAAATATTGAAATATGTAAGGGACGCCGGACCCATTTTCCGGCTATCAAAGGAAAGGTCATTTTGTTTCGAAAAAGAAAAAGTTGTTCAGTTCCTTTTTCTAAATTTTTTCTGCATAACATAGCTTTTCAAATTTTTTCAAACTTCAGATTTTTTTTATATATTTTTTAATTATTATTATTTTTTGTGGGGGGGGGGGGGGGGGGGGGGGGGTGGTAGGACCTTCCCTTGTCCTTGCACAGGCGGTCCCCCGGGAAAACAAGGGGGGGACCTGCGCGGTCCGTCTGGTAGCCTAGCCTATTTGGTAGGACCTTTTAACTTGCACGGGCGGTCCCCAGGGAAAACAAGGGGACCCGTCACCCGGGCGTTCCGTCTGGTAGCCTAGCCCATTTGTAACTTTTGGTGGGGGTAGGACCTTCACCAAAACAAGGGGAGGTCCTACTACCCCCACCAAAACAAGGGGAGGTCCTACACCAAAAGTAACAAATAGAAGCCCTCTATAAAAAAAAATAAAAAAAAGAAAAGGTAACAAATAGGCAAGGGAAGGTCCTACACCAAAAGTAACAAATAGGCAAGGGTAGGACCTTTCTTGTTTTTTTGTTTTGTTTTGGGTGCGGGTAGGACCTTCCCTTGCCCGTGCACAAGCGGTCCCCTGGGAAAAAAAGGGGGGGACCCAGGCGGTCCATCTGGTAGCCTAGCCTATTTGTTACTTTTTTTTTTTTTTTTAACAGAATGCCAACATTTAATTTACTGCTCGCCGTGCTCGGGTTCTCTACCGAACTGCTAGGGCTACCTACTTGTGTCGCATAATAAATTACATGCTTGGGCTCTTTACGTGTGCTGCCTCTCTCGCAAAGGGGCCACGTTCACTCGATTACAATTTAAAACTCATTTCCGCACTTCCTGAAGCCAGAATGTACATTAACACGCTCGCAACAGGGTGCGTAGTCTGCACCAGGACCACGTTCACAACCCTGTGCAGAGTCTGCACCCGGACCCGTCAATCCTCCAGGAACATGCTGAAAGTGGCACCCCTGAAAATTTCCAATACAATGCTAACATTGCTGAAGTACCGATGGTTTCTTCTCCCTTTCAATCCCTGGTACAAATTACATAACATACATTTCGAGTATTTCGGCCTCGAAGCGCGCGTCGAGGGGCAACGAGGGAAGGTTCATCGGAACACGGATTCTTTAAACATTCTCAGAAGAAAACACAGAAAAAAAAAGGCATGTCAAACTGCACAACCCAACAGCTACAGGGCAAACAGGTCACACAGAGAAGCAAGGAAGCAAGGAAATGATGGCTTTCAGAAAAAAAGAAGACAATCGTATCTCCTTTTAGATCAGGAGACACTGTTGTTGACGCGAATACCTGAAGCAATGACGTTTGAACAAACAAAAAAAGTCAATAGCGGGCAGGATGAGCATGTTGATCTTAGTCACTCAGAACAAAAAAAAAAAAAGAAAAAAAAAAAAAAA